AAAAAAAAAAAAATGCATGATACAAATTTTAAAATCTACCATTTACCTATATAGATATTAAAAGACGTTTTATATATGTACCACTTGAGGTTTATTAGAATTCCATTTATTATTGTAAGTTTCATTTTTTATGTCTTCTAGGAACCAACGAAAAATGCATGATTTTTTAATCAATAATATCTACTAACACTATATTACTTCTGTAATTCTCAAATAGTATTTGATAATAGGGCTATGATTTCCCATGTTTTACTGAGGAGTAAATTGAGGCTTAACTTGTTAACAGTCACGTAACTTGGCAATGGCAGAGCTGGGATTTGAACCTGGGAAATTGGCTCCAGGCTATTTGCTCGGTATTACTCTACCATATTGTCTCTTTCTAATGTTGAAAGAAACTTATTGACCATAGAAACATAGAAAATGTTGAGACATTATCTAATGGAGATTTTGGGGATTTTTTCCTATTTTTTATTTCTCCTCACTATTCCCTTCTAATTTGACATGCAAATACCTAATATGCCAGACGGTTATATCTCTCTCTCTTGAAAACTCCCTAACAGGGCACGAGTATATGGGGGGTTTGGGTTTTTGTCCCTACTCTGTCATAGCTTATCTCAATGTAGAGGCTAGGGAGAATGCTATCAAAAGCTTGGCTGAAATTGAATTTGGATTTTGTGGTTTGTTGCCATCACCAGTGTTGGATGCCATAATTGTAGAAGTATGAAAATCCATCCAGTGCTGCTGGTCTTTGAAAACAAGTGCTGGCTGCTATAAAGCATTTTATGTTCTTTTAAGTGACAGGAATGATTTGCAAAAGCAGAGCCTGAGGCATTGCAGAGAGGCGAGAGTAGATTTTGTATGGTTGGGTGCTTTCATGGTCCTTTGAATGATCCTTGTTGCTTTTATCACCTCTGCTTTCCCATGCAGCCTGTGCTCTGATGTTTCATTATGGCTTTAGCCATCTGTGTGGCATTACCCTAGAGGTTTTATGAGTACTGGACCTTTCTTCTTGACCCTTAATGCCCAAATCGGGAAAAGTATTAATTCTATTCCCACACTCTACTCACACGATTGCCTAAAGATAACTTCATTTGCATTAATAGCTCTATGAATGACATCGCATGCTGCATTTTCTATCTTTACATTAGATGATCTGTTACTTGATTGCCAGCTTAGACTGACCTCAGTACCAACCCTGGCACACAGTTGCAGGTGTTTAGTCAATACTAAATAGAAGAAATGTACTTCAAAACTCAAGTTTCTTCTAATATATATTTTAAATTACCTAGTACTACAATAATAGGACTATAATGAAATATGAGAATAAGGATAATTTATAAAGTTGGAGAAAAGTAAATTTGGAAACTGCCAATTCTCCTCTGTTGGGTTGAAGGAAAGACATTCCTGCAACTTTATCATGAATTCCACATTTAATTGGTGCAACACTCACTTGTAGTTCTTGATCATATATTAGAGACATAGTTCTTCCTGAGAGTGCAATGCAGCCTACACATGCCTATGGAACATAAATTTGACTTACTTTAGGAAGAAGCCTCCAGTGGCTGGTAAATCTATTCATGATATTCTGGAGAAAGTCTTTATATTTGATTTTTGAGGTACTAAGATATATTTGGCATTTTTATTAAAATTAAACTTGTATGTGTGCATGTGTGTGTGTTTCCCACTTGGCCAATAAAAATAATTTGTGTCGTTGTGGGGAGTTTACAGTCAAATGAAAAGGTGATTTGTAAGGTCATTGATTTTATTTATTTAAGACATAAAAATCTCACTGTAGTGGTTGCATAAGCATCCCAGTTACGTGTACAAGGGTTTCTTGTAAAGTATTTAATCATAATGATTTTAGAAAAATGCTTTAGAAACTTTTTCAATTAAACACACCCTTCAAAGATAGTTTTGTAATAAATGAAAAATTAAACATAACCTACTGGAATTTACTACCTCAATTAGATCATTCAGAAATTACAAAACTTTAAAACAATTGCTTTTGTCTTTAAAAAAATTTTTAAACATGGAAATACTTGAAAAAGTTTTACAAATACTGGTAACTCTTTGCTTCTGACTACTTTGCACTTTTATAAAAAGTGATTCTTCCCTTGTTATTGCATGAGTAGGGGGGCTAAGAATGTTTTACTACTAAAATTCCATTTTATCTCATGTAGGAATAAGTCATAGAAAAGAGTTTACATCAAAAATATGGTTTTACAAGGAGGCTTAGGAAGCCACCTTTCCTAACTGCAGTAAATCCAAGCAAATGATTGAACAATTAATTGCTTTTGATACCAGTGAAGCATATTTGACTTTATCGAACTAAGCAATGTTGAGTAATACAGATTTCAGATAAATGCGTGCCTAGATGCATAGATACATAAAGTTCTTCTGCTTATCTAATATGGTGGCTTACTTAATTATCCTGCATTAATTATCTTGCATATGCCATTGCTTAGTTCTGGAAAGATCCCCATGAATGACTATTAACTCTGCTTACACACGTTTGTATAGTGCTTCCAATTTGGGGTAATGTCTCACAATTTCTGTTATCGTCCTGCTAAGCAGTGCTTACAGAATGTGGTAGATATAATCTCTGAAACATGCACTATATTTTTAACAGCTTTATTATTTATTGTGGTGTAATTTACATTCAATAAATTGTACAAGTTTAAAGTATACATTTTGAGAAATTTTAACATACATATATACCCATGAAATCATTGACATAGTTGAAGCAATGAGTATCTGTCACTCCAAAATGTTTCCTTGTGCCCATTTTTAATCCATTTGCCTTCCTCTCTATACCTCAAGCCATCTTTGTACTAGGCAACAAGTCAAGCTGTTTTCTATCATTTTAAATGCATTTTATAACACTGTACATAAATAAAATCACATAGTGTGGACCATTTTAAGGCCGTTTTATATTGTACAAAAGAATTATTTTGAGATCAATCCACAGGGTCCATGAATCAATAGTTTATTCCTTTTAATGCTAAGCAGTATTCCATAGAAGATATACCACAATTTATTTTCCCTTTACCAAAAAGCATTTTGAAAAATTAGAGTGTTTAGCAAAGAAAATTTCCATTTTTCAATATAAAACTGGTGCTACTCAAAATATAAGTGTATAATTGCTACTTCTATTAGTTTTTTTCCTCCCTCACACTCTCTTCACACAAACTGAAAATCTCTGTTAAGCCAAAGATTTTCAATCGAATGTGGAGAGTTGATTTTACTTACTAGTGTTATTTCTATCATATTTATTTTTTTCCAAAGCAATCTAATAATTTTCCTGTCACTCTGACAAACTCAAGCACCAACAAGCAAAGTTTTTCAGTTATCTTTGTTTCTTTTTGGATCAGTTGACTCATCGTGAAGAGTGGATTAGAAAGAGCAAAACAGAACATGTATATATACTGTGGAAAAAAATCATGCTTTGGAAACACATATACTTCTCATAATCATTTATTTACTACATTTTGTTTGAAGGTTCATTGATGGGAATCAGATTGCTGGATACAATGCTATTCTTCTTAATAAGTGCACAAGAATCTGCTTGTCTTTTTCACAGTAGTTAATTCATAACCAAAAATAAAGAGGAAAGGGGAAAAGGTAATTTTAAAAAATGAAATTAAAATGACATTGTCAAGAAAAGGTTTTCCGTTGCAAAAATTATGTGTAAATTAACAGAATAATTCAAAGATACATTGCTTTAAAATGTCCCTTCATTTCAAACATAAATTACTGAAGAAACCCATAATTTCTTCTTTAATCCTCTTCACCTAGTTCTATTTTTGACATAAATACTTAATTTAATTTCTCATTCTGTTCTATAATATATAGCCTGTTATATAGAGCTTTTGAAATTTGAAAAAGAAAAAAAAAACAATTGCCCAGTTCCTTTTGTTAAGAGTTAATAAAATATAATAAACTTAAAATGGGTGTGTTGGAAAAAGGAAAAATTTGCTGAGTATATAATGGACTGAAATGAGTAAGAATAGGGATTGTATACTTGTAATTCTTGAAAATACAGATGGTCCCAGATTTATGATGGTTCTACATAGGATTTTTCAACTTTACAGTAAATAGTGCAAAAACAATATGTATTATGTTCTTTGACTTATGATGGAGTTCCATAATGGTAATCACATCAAAAATTATAAGATTGTTGACTTACCATCTTTTCAAAAGTTTTGAAAGTTTTATGAAAGTTTTGTCAGGACATGGCCTCATCATCAATCAAAGAGCATTTGCACATCACAATATTTGAGGTAATAAATAGAGTTAAAATGACTTAGGGATAAAATATTCAAGTATAGTTACCCCGAGACCAATAAGTTTTCCGAAAGCTAGTATGATTCAATTATTTACCACTTTTGCAGAAAAACTGTCAAAAAAATCACCACTTTAATGGAGATTTTGAAAATATTTCCTTAAACTTTCCATAAATTCTTCTCTACCAATATCAGTTTTACTGAGAGTTTTTTCTTTTCTTTTT